AACGTAAGCCTGTAAAGGTAAAAACGTAAACTTAACCGTAACGTAAGGATGAAAACCCGAGCTGAAATTTAGTTTTTTGCATCTTTGCACACAAAACGTTGGAATTAAAGGTTTTGTGGTAAAAAATAGTATTCAGGTCAGTGCGCTTTCAGCATAAAAAGTTAATCTTTTGGTCGGCAACGAGGGTCTCGACCCCTTAACCCTTGCCTTTCGATTTCCGGCCCCATCTCTCTGATGTCCCAGTTCCAGTGAAGTGACAACATCGACATCGGCAACAAAAACAGATCAATATCGTGGCGCTGCGGCTTCGCAAGCAATTTGGCATAGTATTGTTTTGCGTTTTCGAGTAGCACAACTGAATACCGATGAGATTATCATCATCTACAGGGAGAGAAGGAGAGATAATCGACGAAAAGTCGCTTTTAATGAGCGAATTTTTACACAACTTTTTCAATAATAATATCGGAGCGCAATCTGGGATAAAGTCGAGAGGAATTTCATTTCGACATTTTTTAAGACAAAGCTCGAAATATTTACAAAGTAAATACCCACTCGAATATGTCGCAGAAATCCCAGGAATGTCGGTTTGGGTTTCCAGCTCTCAACTAAATCGGAGATTATTCCGCAAATATCAATATTTCAAAACTAATTCAAACAGTCCACCGAAATGACCAGATTTGAACCCGCTTGAAATCTTGTGGAGATTCCGGTTAATTATTTTGAGAAATTTGTCGATTTTGCTTGACAAAATGCAGAAAAAGTAAATATTGTGTCTTAATTAGACACCGGAATGGCCCGATTTGAGTCCACTTGAGATCGCGTGGCAAAATCGAATGCAATCTTACAATGTACCTTTCCAGAAAATACTAAAGCAGCGAAAGAGACAAGAAAGACAACATTGGTAAATGTCATGATAAAGACTTTTCAATTGGACTCAAATCGGGCCATGTTTGTGGCTAAATTTGCGAAAATTGACGAATTAGCCCGATTTTTGATTTTTTTCTAATAAAGTTGGCCAGTGAAAATTAATTAACTGAATTTTCGACGATCTTGGATGTAACCTAATCGATTTTTGACCAGCCTACAACCTAAATAAAGCCTTAAATCGAAAAAATATTGTCATTTTTGGAATCACAAGGCCCAAATTAGTAATATTCGGTGATTAAATCGCAGACCAAGACTTTTCAATTGGACTCAAATCGGGCCATTTTTGTGGCTAAATTTGTGAAAATCGTCGCATTGACCAGATTTTTGATTTTTTTCTAATATAGTTAATCAGAGAAAGTTAATTTCCTAAATTTTCAATTTAAGACAATTTTGGATTCATCCTAACCAATTTTTGACTAGTTTACAAGGTAAATAAAGCCTCAAATCACAAAAATGTTGTAATTTTTGGAATCACAAGGCCTGAATTAGTAATATTCTGTGATTAAATCGCGGACCAAAACTTTTCAATTGGACTCAAATCAGGCCATTTTCCTCGAAATATTTACAAAGTAAATACCCACTCGAATATGTCGCAGAAATCCCAGGAATGTCGCTTTGGGTTTCCAGCTCTCAACTAAATCGGAGATTATTTCGCAAATATCAATATTTCAAGACTAATTCAAACATCAACGGTTTTGGCCACAGAAATGACCAGATTTGAACCCGCTTGAAATCTCGTAGAGATTCCGGTTAATTATTCTGAGAAATTTGTCGATTATGCTTGACAAAATGCAGAATTAGACACCGGAATGGGCAGATTTGAGTCCACTTGAAATCGCGTGGTGTGCACCATTGAGAAAAACACAAAAAACCGTATTTTGTTTTATTTATTTTGTATTATTTATAACACAAAAATGTGTGCAAAGACGCAAAAAACTAAATTTTAACTCACTTTTTCATCCTTACGTTACGGTTAAGTTTGCGTTGTTACGCTTACGTTATGAATTTTTACCTTTACGGCCTTACGTTCTTACCAAAGGGTAAGTAGATAGACGCAAAAAACTAAATTTCAGCTCAGTTTTTTATCTCTACGTTACGGTTAAGTTTGCATTCTTACGCTTGCGTTATGCGTTTTTACTTTTTTGCGGTTTACGTTTCGACCTTTTGTGTGCAAAGACACAAAAAACTAAATTTCTGCTCAGTTTTTGATCATTGCTTTACGGTTACGTTTAAGTTCTTACGCTTGCGTTATGCGTTTTTTTGGCTTACGTTCCGACTTTTTGTGTGCAAAAAACAGCTCAGTTTACATTTTACGTTACGGTTAAGTTTGTGTTTTTACGCTTGTGTTATCCGTTTTTACCTTTACGAGCTTACGTTTCTACTCTTTGTGTGCATGTCTATGCGTCTGCAAAAAACTAAATTTCAGCTGACTTTTTTACACTTTTTTGTGGCTAAATTTGCGACAATTGACGAATTAACCAGATTTTTGACATTTTTCTAATAAAGTTAACGAGTGAAACTTAATTAACTGAATTTTTGACGATTTTGGATTAATCCTAACCGATTTTTGACTAGTCTACAAGGTAAATAAAGCCTTAAATTACAAAAATATTGTAATTTTTAAAATCATAAGGCCTGAATTCGTAATATTCGGTGATTAAATCGCAGACCAAAACTTTTCAATTAGACTCAAATCAGGCCATTTTGGTGGCTAAATTTGTGAAACTCAACAAATTAATCACATTTTTGATATTTATCTAATAAAGTTAGCTAGTAAAAATTAATTAACTAAATTTTTGACGATTTTGGATTCATCCTAACCAATTTTTGACCAGTCTTTATAGACCTAAATGAAGCCTCAAATCGTACAAAAATTGTCATTTTTGGAATCACAAATCCTGAGTTAGTAATTTTCGGTGATTAAATCGCAGACCAAGACTTTTCAATTGGACTCAAATCGGGCCATTTTTGTAGCTGAATTTGCGACAATTGACGAATTAACCAGATTTTTGATTTTTTTCTAATATAGCTACCTGAATTTTCGACGATTTTGGATTTATCCTAACAGAATTTTTGATTAGTCTACAAGCTAAGTAAAGCCTCAAACGGCAAAAATATTGTCATTTTTGGAATGACGAGGGTCGGATTAGTAAAATTCAGTGATTAAATCGCAAACCAAGATTTTTTAATTGGACTCAGGTCTGGTCATTTTGGTGGCTAAATTTGAGAAAAGTGACAAATTAAGCACATTTTTGATTATTTCTAATAAAGTTGGTCAGTGAGAATTAATTAACAGAATTTTCGGTAATTTTGGAGTTATATAACTGATTTTTTACCAGTCTACAAGCTAAATAAAGCCTCAAATCGCAAAAATATGGTTATTTCAGAGTTCACAAGGGTTTATTTATTTTGTTTATTAATAAAATGCACTTAAAGCATAAACTGAGACACTCAAATTTTGATTTGGCAACAAAATGCCCAGATATGAGTCCACTTGAAATCTCGTGGTGATGCACAAAAAATTAGTTTGGATTGATAAAATGCACCTACTTTTTGTGATTTACAAATATACAAAATGTGTCTTAATTAGACACCTGAATGGCCAGATTTAGTCCCATTGAAACGTTCTGGTATCGGATTTTAGGCGAATATCTCGGAAAGTATTTGTCGTAGAAAAATTTCAATTACAGATTCGGAATCCTGGGAAAATTCCACAAAAGACGAGTCCATCACCGATTTAATATTTATTTCACACCGGAAAATAACCGATATCAAAAGAAGTGTGGTGTAACATAAAAATTCCACGTCTCCATCAAGATAAAGCCCATTTCCGATTGAAATTCCCCTAAAATGTCCTCTTTCAATTCATGTCACGTCAACAACGGTTTCAAAAATACCGATCAGTTGGATAAACCGAACTCGTCCTTCAATAAACTTGCAAATAACACGTTATTTGTTGAAAAACTCGAAAATCTATGCATTTATTCAATTGCACGGCTCGTGAGACGACTTCATACAAGTCCGCGCTCGCGACTTGCATCCGTAGTATGAGAAAAAACGCGCTTTTCGCTGTTTTTGCCACCGAAATGGCCGGATTTGAGTCCAAGTGAAAAGTCTTGGTTTGCGATTTAATCACCGAATGTAACTAATTCAACCCTGGTGAACCCTAAAATGAGAATATTTTTGCGATTTGAGGCTTTATTTAGCTTGTAGACTGGTAAAAAATCAGTTATGTAACTCCAAAGTTGCCGAAAATTCAGTTAATAAATTGTAACTGACCAATCTTATTAGAAATAATCAAAAATGCGGTTAATTCGTCGATTTTTTCAAGTTGAGCCACCAAAATGGCCTGATTTGAGTCCAATTGAAAAGTCATGGTCAGCGATTTAATCACCAAATATTACTAATTTGGGCCTTGTGATTCCAAAAATGACAATATTTTTTCAATTTAAGGCTTTATTTAGTTTGTAGGCTGGTCAAAAATCGATTAGGTTACATCCAAGATCGTCGAAAATTCAGTTAATTAATTTTCACTGGCCAACTGTATTAGGAAAAAATCAAAAATCGGGTTAATTCGTCAATTTTCGCAAATTTAGCCACAAAAATGGCCCGATTTGAGTCCAATTGAAAATTCTTGGTCTCCGATTTAACCACCGAATATTACTAATTCGGGCTTTGTAATTCAAAAAATGACAATATTTTTGCGATTTGAGGCTTTATTTAGCTTGTAGACTACTTTAAAATCGAGATATATACACCTAATTTTCAAGTTTAGTTAATTAATTAATTTTCAGTCACATACAAGCACGGATTGCATATTCGCGCCTCATTACCTTCAAGCTCTTGTAAAATTTTTCCCTCGTCGAATTTCCCGTTTTAAAATATTCAAAAAGCGTTTGAAGTAGTTTTTGATATGAAAATTCCTCAAATGCACGTGCACATGTTTTATTCTCTATGAATTTTTCACTCCAGTTGAGAAGTTCAAAGGTGGGTTTAAATTCGAGCTTCGAATCGCCATCTTGCGACTATAAACCGAACCTCGAAACGTTTTCTACACCAAACAACACGATCAATACTTTAAAAATACTTTAATTTGCACAAAAATAGAAAAATAAAAAACTCATTTGCTACTTCTGGTCCCTTTCAGACACTTTTCAGTATTTTCAGTATCTTGACTTAATATTTAGCTTCTGTAAGAACAAAATACAAATG